AAAAAAAAAAAAAAAAAAAAAAAAAAAAAAAAAAAAAAAAAAAAAAAAAAAAAAAAAAAAAAAAAAAAAAAAAAAAAAAAAAAAAAAAAAAAAAAAAAAAAAAAAAAAAAAAAAAAAAAAAAAAAAAAAAAAAAAAAAAAAAAAAAAAAAAAAAAAAAAAAAAAAAAAAAAAAAAAAAAAAAAAAAAAAAAAAAAAAAAAAAAAAAAAAAAAAAAAAAAAAAAAAAAAAAAAAAAAAAAAAAAAAAAAAAAAAAAAAAAAAAAAAAAAAAAAAAAAAAAAAAAAAAAAAAAAAAAAAAAAAAAAAAAAAAAAAAAAAAAAAAAAAAAAAAAAAAAAAAAAAAAAAAAAAAAAAAAAAAAAAAAAAAAAAAAAAAAAAAAAAAAAAAAAAAAAAAAAAAAAAAAAAAAAAAAAAAAAAAAAAAAAAAAAAAAAAAAAAAAAAAAAAAAAAAAAAAAAAAAAAAAAAAAAAAAAAAAAAAAAAAAAAAAAAAAAAAAAAAAAAAAAAAAAAAAAAAAAAAAAAAAAAAAAAAAAAAAAAAAAAAAAAAAAAAAAAAAAAAAAAAAAAAAAAAAAAAAAAAAAAAAAAAAAAAAAAAAAAAAAAAAAAAAAAAAAAAAAAAAAAAAAAAAAAAAAAAAAAAAAAAAAAAAAAAAAAAAAAAAAAAAAAAAAAAAAAAAAAAAAAAAAAAAAAAAAAAAAAAAAAAAAAAAAAAAAAAAAAAAAAAAAAAAAAAAAAAAAAAAAAAAAAAAAAAAAAAAAAAAAAAAAAAAAAAAAAAAAAAAAAAAAAAAAAAAAAAAAAAAAAAAAAAAAAAAAAAAAAAAAAAAAAAAAAAAAAAAAAAAAAAAAAAAAAAAAAAAAAAAAAAAAAAAAAAAAAAAAAAAAAAAAAAAAAAAAAAAAAAAAAAAAAAAAAAAAAAAAAAAAAAAAAAAAAAAAAAAAAAAAAAAAAAAAAAAAAAAAAAAAAAAAAAAAAAAAAAAAAAAAAAAAAAAAAAAAAAAAAAAAAAAAAAAAAAAAAAAAAAAAAAAAAAAAAAAAAAAAAAAAAAAAAAAAAAAAAAAAAAAAAAAAAAAAAAAAAAAAAAAAAAAAAAAAAAAAAAAAAAAAAAAAAAAAAAAAAAAAAAAAAAAAAAAAAAAAAAAAAAAAAAAAAAAAAAAAAAAAAAAAAAAAAAAAAAAAAAAAAAAAAAAAAAAAAAAAAAAAAAAAAAAAAAAAAAAAAAAAAAAAAAAAAAAAAAAAAAAAAAAAAAAAAAAAAAAAAAAAAAAAAAAAAAAAAAAAAAAAAAAAAAAAAAAAAAAAAAAAAAAAAAAAAAAAAAAAAAAAAAAAAAAAAAAAAAAAAAAAAAAAAAAAAAAAAAAAAAAAAAAAAAAAAAAAAAAAAAAAAAAAAAAAAAAAAAAAAAAAAAAAAAAAAAAAAAAAAAAAAAAAAAAAAAAAAAAAAAAAAAAAAAAAAAAAAAAAAAAAAAAAAAAAAAAAAAAAAAAAAAAAAAAAAAAAAAAAAAAAAAAAAAAAAAAAAAAAAAAAAAAAAAAAAAAAAAAAAAAAAAAAAAAAAAAAAAAAAAAAAAAAAAAAAAAAAAAAAAAAAAAAAAAAAAAAAAAAAAAAAAAAAAAAAAAAAAAAAAAAAAAAAAAAAAAAAAAAAAAAAAAAAAAAAAAAAAAAAAAAAAAAAAAAAAAAAAAAAAAAAAAAAAAAAAAAAAAAAAAAAAAAAAAAAAAAAAAAAAAAAAAAAAAAAAAAAAAAAAAAAAAAAAAAAAAAAAAAAAAAAAAAAAAAAAAAAAAAAAAAAAAAAAAAAAAAAAAAAAAAAAAAAAAAAAAAAAAAAAAAAAAAAAAAAAAAAAAAAAAAAAAAAAAAAAAAAAAAAAAANAAACGACCGGATCTGTGGTCGATCAAAACTTGGCAGCTCCATCGTGATAACACATCCGCCCATTCTGCGCATCTGTTTCGAGCTTTCGTCGCCAAACACAATACTCCTGTGGTTCGTCATGCTCCATACTCTCCCCACATGGCTCCGTGGGACCTTTGGCTATTTCCCAAGCTGAAAATGCTGCTAAAAGAAACCCAAATTTAGTCAAGAGAAGACATTGTGCGGAATCCGACGGACCGGCTGATGGCCATTCCAAAAGATGTGTTCCAGCAGTGTTTCCAGCAATGGGAGGAACGCTGGGAGAAGTGTATACATTACCAAGGAGACTACTTTGAAGGGGATTGGGGTTTTGTACCTCAAAGTCAATAAATTTATTTCTGCCAACCAAAGATCCAATACTTTTTGAACAGACCTTGTATATCAGAAAATTTAGCCTAACAGTTTAGATACTAGAATTAAAACTTTGCAAGTACTTTTCATTAAATTTTAAAAACTTTTTATGATTCCTTGTGCTTGTTTATTCATTTTATTTGACACAATAGATCATCAACTATTAACTGAAGATTGAAACAACACATTAAATCCACTAATGACAGTATTAAGACATTCACAATTTAATTTTATTTAAAGAATTTCATAAATTAATCAAATAAATTTTTTTTGAAAATTTTCATAATAGTAATTCTTTAAAACGTTTATATGTAATATTGTTTAAAATAAAATTCCAAAAACAAAAAATAATCCAGCAATGAGTTGTGTAACTTTTCCAACAAAACATTTAAATTGTGGTGATATCATCTGTTATGATAATTTATTTAAAAGACTTTTTATAATAAAAAGAGTTTTATAAAAACTATTAATAAATTACATTAATAAATGCTAATAATGAGTAAAATTGTCAATAAGTCTGACCCTACTGGCGATACACATGCCCTTTATCTCCCCATCCCCTCAACCTTAGACCACCAAAATTCAATAGCATCAATCCCCCTAATAAACAAACATCCCAACAAAAATTTCAGAAAAATTTTCAACAAAAAGCACAGGAATTATTAAGCTTCAAAGAGGGTGAACAAAATTGTGCCCCTCCCACACACAATCTTATACACATACAGAAAAACCCTAAATTTATTTTCATTTCTTGATGTTTCAAGGTTCCAAGTCCAAAAATGTAAAAATCTTTGGGGGTCAATTTTTGAGCAATTGTCACACTTTCCTGGCTGTTATATAAATATGTTAGTTTATGAATTATTATTAATGAAAACAAACATGTTAATATTAAAGTATTAAATTCCAATTCTCATTTAAAATATTACTAACTTTGACTAACATAATTTCAAATTTCCATGTTGCCCCACCAAACCACCTCTAGTGTTTGGGGTGCTCAATGTTGCACAGATGGATCATAATCTGACAAGAATTTTCATTTAATGTTTTTTGTAGAAAAGGGCTGGCAGAATTACAATTTAATAAAAAGTAAAATGCATCTGGATACAAGTCCAATTTTGCTTGCCATGTCCAATCACCAGGAACAACTATTTCCATTCTACTTTCCATTCTACATTCAAAGGTTGTCTCTGCAATGGAAATAGTTGTTCCTGGTGAATGGTCATGGCAAGCAAAATTGGACTTGTATCCAGATGTATTTTAATTTTTATTAAATTTTCATTTAATGTTCATTTTTTCTTTCTTTATTAACCAACTTGTATTGATTTATGGAGTTTTTTAAATATACTAAAACCTGTCTATGGCGACCACCCACGGTTCCTTCAAAAAGTGGTGTTTTAGACAGGTGGTCTTGTAATAACATATTTCCGTATGTATTTTATGCACTTTTTAGCCATTTCTACTAAAAAGCAAAACTCGAGGTGAGCAAAAATAAGTGAAATTTTTCAATGATAGAGCTATATTGGTATTGAATTTTATTCTTATCTGATAACCTGATTTACAGGAGTCATCGTGATATTATAAGACAGATTTAATGCCAATATTTTAAAGATTAATACAATACTCGCATTTTCTCGATTATAATGCACACTTTCTTTTTTCCGTCTTAATTAATTCGACTCAGTTCTTTTTGTTCACTCCTCGCGCTTGTATATCGATGATGTAATACATGTAGTATTACGTCATCGATATACAAGCGCGTCCTATCTCTGCATCACTTTGGTTTTGGTTTTCATTAGTTTAATCTTATTTTAACTTTAAAAATACTGTATTTTTTAATATTTAATATTTTTCTTAAGTACAATAAGAAAAATTATTAATTAATAATAAAACAATTTTATTATTTTTTTCTCATTATACGATTTCATTACATTCCATGATTGTCATTGCAGAATCAAAAAAAGGAAGGTTGCCTGTAAAACAGATTTTTGCATTAACGCATTTACTGTTTTTTGAATATTTTGCGTGCAAAAATTACTTGGATATTATTTTTCTAAAAATATCGTGGAAATAAGATAGGTTGATACAGAAACTATTTATCGCACATGCACTGTATATAAGCTTAAAAAAAAAAAATAATAAATAATAATAATAAATAAATAAATAAAATAAATTTTATCAAACAATGAGATCAGCCAATTAATTGTATCGTGTACAATATTTTATACCCTTAAGGAACATACTGTAGGTCTACGGTAAAATAAATTTAGTTTTCCCACAGTTAAATTTCGCCGCTAATTGCTGTTGTGATAACTTTAATATGATCTTCTAACAACAGCACTTTGCATTTCTTTCGTTTTTCGGACATTTTCCAACAAATTGAAATGAATGTTCTTTGTTGCTAGACCAATTTATTAACACTTGCACCTAATTTCAAGGGTGGGACAATGGTCGAACAATAGTTTAGACCAGATATATTTGCGGAAGTGGTCACTTATTACAGTTGTTGTATATTGTTTTGGACCAAAAATTGATGCCCGTGGTTGTGTTACACAGGTAGTTGTTTAATACAGCTAACTTATACAAAGACTCTATGGATAAACTATGCAGTTTTCACTGTATATGAGATTGTTAGCTATTGGGTTGAGTGTATTCTAACCTAACCATATGTAATCCAGCATCCTACAAGTCCCAATGATGCTGGATTAGTGATGGTCAATCTGTAATTATTGGAAACAGTCAATAATTTTACTTACCTAATTTTTTGGCTACATTCAAGAGCCATTTAACATCCTCTCCATAAGGTGGGTTTCTAGCATATTTTGCTTGTGGTCTATCATCGTGCACTCTGCGGGCAAGTGTTTCCATAGCTAGCATGCCCACTCGATAAGCAGCAAGTAAATAACCCATCTGCTGCTGATTGAGTTGTGAAATGGGATTTTGTATCTATAAAATAAAATATGCTTTATTTTCTATTACAAAGTAGACTAAATTAATAAACCATAAAACAAGTTAAATTAATATTATGTAAAAACAATGCAAACAGCATTTAATAGAATAACAAACTTTTCAGTTATAAGTTTATTGTCTTATATTTGTAAATATTATTGTAATTAATGAATCTTTATTTAATATATTACCATTTTAAATGAATTCCAAAGTGAAGCTAACATGTATTTAAAGCAAACAATATATATATATATAAAATTGAATTCATGTCCATCTTTTTTTCTGTCCATTTGTTCAAGTATCACATGAACAGTTGAACCAATTTGTATAAACATTCATATATATATCAGGATAGTCCTGAAAAGGATACAGGCTACTTTTGAATTCATACCTGTCTGTCTATCTATCACATGAGAATGGCTGAATCCTTCTCAGGCTATAGAATGTATTTAGGGTAAATTTTGATGTAAGATTGTTTTTAATTGGTTCTATTATAAGCACATATTCCTTTTTCATATATACATTTTTATATGAGTATATTGCCTTTACTTAATATATCATTTTTCCAATTGAAGCCAGATATCTCAGCTAGTTACATAATAAAATTATCAAAATTTGTCTAAGTACTGAAACTAGAATTTTTAGAAATAATTTCATGTAAAAACTGCATAAAAATTATTAATTCATCTAGTTTTTGTGTAGAAACTGAATAAATTTTATTATTTCTTTATCATTTCCATTTAAAAATGAAGACAATGATCAAATCAATGGCAAGCAGTTTAAAGAAATAAGCAGATGCTAATCTTATTGAAAATACAAACAAAACCGGAAAAAAAGAACATTTTCAAAAGTTGCTGAACATTCAGCAAATTCTTTAAAAAAGTGTAATTTAGCACCAAGATATTTAATGTATCTATTATGAAAACATAATAGCAAATTTTCAGATAATTCTTTTAAAGTTAAATCGTTCTATTGTTGAAATGTTAAAATTTCAAGAACAATTTTAAAATATTTGTTTATGGAAGTCAACAGACACAAAACCTTTTGATTTTAATCTTAAAGTGAAGTTTACATTGCTGAAACAACTGATAATCATCTATGTTTTGTTTCCTTACAGCAGTTTATATTTTTAGTCTTCCAAGTGTCAATCGCTGGTTAATGTCATGCCAATATTAGTTGTATGGTGCCACTTCTATCTGCAGTTGTTATTAGAAAATAGTAGTTTTAACTGTTTCTGCCAAATATTTGTATTGTATTATAATTATTATTTATCATCATCATTAATTAAATTTGCTTACTTTTTATACTTTATGATCTTTTCAATTTTTTGATATCATATTCTGTAATGTTAACCATATGGTGGCATTTTGTAGTGGCTTAGAAAATACAGAGCAGAAATATTAACTATTTTCAATCAAGAAAATTATTAACATTCCTACCCTGTACAAATTTCTAATTGTAAACATTATTTCAACTTGAATTTTATCACAGTTAGTGGCAAGCTATACTTGCTTACTTAATATAAGCCTAAATAGGTCCAGGCTTTACTTTCTTAGTTGTATTATGCATGATGAAACTTCCAAGAAATAGAAATGAATGGCTGGATAGTCAAAAGATTAAGACAGCATTTTCCAACCTTTTCCTAATAGTGGCAATTCAACTTTATAATTTTTTTTGCTACACCCCTACATCTTTATCAATATAGAGTTCTTGTTGTTTTAGTACTTTTAGTAATATATGTAAGAAGTGTTATTGCACTCACACTTCTCAACATTATATTTTGCATTGCAAGATCCACCAATGGATGAATGAATTACACCAGTGAACATGGGTAATTGGTCATGGGTTTGCATCTCACCAATAAGCTGGCCACGTGGCATTTTCTTGGGTTTCTTCAAATGTCTAACAACTAATACAGGCCAGTTTCCCCCAAAAAAGTTCTCTCAGGAGACATCCTTCCCCTTGGCAGATCATCCATGTGTTGTATCGCCTTTTTTTCCATCAATACATTTTGTGGTACACCCCCTAAGTGTGTGCACCTTGATTGAAAGCTGTAGGAATAAGCTTTCAGACTACAGTTCTGGAAAATCTGGAAGTAAATCCAGATTAATTAAAAACTACAGGCCTTTTTTAGGAGATTCTGTCCCTGATACATAATCAAGTATAAAATAGAAAAAGATTTTATGTCACATCAAATGGAACTCTAACTGCAAAAATATAAATGTAAGTAATTGGACTCTATTGACTGTGTTGAAACAATAAATGTAATCAGAGAAGAAGATGAGAAAGCAAATCAACTGTCCACAATAATAGCTTACATGTAGTATTGGAGAGGGAGATCTTTGAGAAATCTGAGTCAAGGGCAGAGACAAGTAAGAGTGTCATGTCTGAACATTCAGATAAGCAACAAGCAGCAATGATAGAGAGTCATCTCTATTGTTGCTACTCCTCTCCATGAACTAACCCAGAGAGTTAAGTGACTAATCAAGATAAATTTAATGATTAGAACAAGTCCTCTCATCATATGCTGAATCATCTCCTAACAGAATGAGTAATTATTTATTGTGAGATTGTCACAATGCCAGGCTGCAATTTTTAATCATATTTTTAATTAATTTAATTTAAAATATATGTTCTCCACTTCAAATTAGTAGTATTTTGCCCCTGTACATCATACTTTCCCTTTAACTATAGAGTTGTGCTGATCATCTATTAACTGCTTTTGGGGATGCACTCACATGTTATGCACCAATAAAGACACAATGTAAAATATATATAACTCCTCATGTAAATAAACTTGTTTTAAAAGAGAAATTCAAAGGTTAGTCACATGTCTCCCCTTTCTCTAACAGTCATACACTTTCCCACAAAAAAGAGTTAATATCCCCATGTGTGTTTCAAGTTTGTCAGTTCTCCTGAAGAAAAAACTGATCAGAATCAGACATCCTAATATTAACCTAAGTAACAATTGTTTATCTGATCACAATATGGTGAAAGGCTACACAAGCTCATTTATTTTAGTAGTAAATTTAGTAAGAAATTTACTTTATCTTTTCATATTCTTTTGTGTTTTGTTTTACCATCTTATAACAAATCCTTTCACTGCAGAATGAAAAATTTTGCATGTCTTCAATTCTGTGATAGAGAAGCTAAAAATGATAATTTTATCATCCTGTTGCTCATTCTACAAAGCATGAAAATCAGATTGCTGGAGTATCATTGTCAACAATAAAAAAGATTTGCTGAAAAGCAGACAGTAGAAGAGCAAAATTTTACTTCACCAATAAAGCATTCAAAGAGAAACATTCTGGAAACAATGGTATTAGATAGCATTGATTGTGATATGATTAGAGAAATACCCATGGTTTCTATGTCAAAGAGAAGAAAGTCCAGTCAATTTCTAAATTACTACCTGTCTTAAAACAAAAGATCAATTTTCCTGGAAAAGATGTACCACTTAAAAAGTATTTTCTTCTTTCAAAAACAGCCCTTCTACATAAATATTCCCTTCCATGTTTGAAAAAGCCCAACCTCTATTTTACAAATAAACCAAATTTAGTTTGTGCATGCCTACTTGTGCTGAGGGCCACAGCAAAATTGGCCAAATGATAACCATATACATTATTATACAATGTTTACACACACACACACACACACTTATTTACATTTAATCTTATTATATCAATATAATAATATAAAATTTATATAAATTATATATTTAATATTTATCAAAAGATAAAATTAGCTTAAACAAACTAAAAGTCATACCTGTTGTTGTTGAGATGGTATTGCTGGAGTTGGTGGCGATTGTGTAGCCATAACAGCATGACCACCCAGAGGTAAAACAGATTGAGCTCTAGATACCGGAACTCCAACTACTTGGTTGGTATATAATCCAGGTGTAGAATGACGAAGATGAGTTGTACTTGTAGCACTTGGAGTATAATAAGATAAATTAGTAAGAGCACCATATGGATATGCTGCCGGAGATGGAACATAAGCTGCATGTAAAGGCATTGGTGAATGTGGAAATGGAGTTACACTTTGCATATAACCATATGGTGCTGTTGGATATGCTAATGTATAAGTGACAGGTGGACATGCTAATTGTGGTATAACTTGAACAGATGGAGCTGTGGTAATGACGCCTTCGACTTGGCCAACGTGAAGATTGTGAGTGGCTATTGTGCCATGATCTGTTCTTGCAGATGAAACCACATCTGTCAAATTTTCTGATTCTATGGTATTTGATACAGTTTCTGATAATCCATCATTATGGCGATCTTCCAGACTTTCTTCATATAATTCATACCTGAAAATTACATAAAGAATGTGAATAAGTAAAGCAATAATCCTACAAAAATTAAATATATACAACTAGAGTCAAGAATAAAATTATAATTTGCTAAAAAATTCATGAGAGATGCCAACAAAAATTGTGAAATAATATACAGTGAAATGTCATTTTCTTTTCCCACACATCTAGTATATGAATTTACATGTTAAATCAAACTAGTTAATGCAAACAGGGTTTGATATGGTACTTTCATAAATTCTGAATTATTAATTTTCTGTTACATAAAATAATTACACTTATCAAACTAATCAGAAACTTTCTATAAAGCATGGGAATCATCATATGACTAAAAATGAACATCATGTAATGTGACAGGGGTGGTAGCTACCAGACAGCATGTATAACCTATACATTGTAACTGCCATTTAAACCTGATTTTTTTCAAACTTTATTTCTTGTTTTATTTGATTGCTGATGGATTTCTCCAATTAGCTAACATACAATAAATAAATGGATTTTTGAGTAATTAATTTAAAATAAAATTATAATCCAATTCCATTGCAATCTAAATCTAGATCCAAAAATGTTTCTACTTTACTTAAACTTTCTTTAAAGTAGCCACATTTTCTTCTCAACAGTTTGAAAATAACATTAAGTCTTATAGAAGTTGCTGATATTTTCAAACTAAAATTTGTTTGAACAAAAATATTTTGAGGATTTATAACAACTTCAATTACTTAGCATTAAATAATACAATCACTTAATATTAGTCATATACATTTATTTTTAATGTTCCAATTTGGAGAACTGCTGTACACACACTAAGTTAATTTTGCAGTACATAATTTATTTTTCAAATGTTATATTGTAAACGAAATAATAAAGTAAGCAAAATTTGAATATTTTCATTGATTTTTATTTCAAAACCTTTGGAAATATAGTGAACAAACCTCTTAAATGTGACTGCCAGATTGCCTAGCGATTAAGACATTGGCATATCATTCTGGTGGACCCAGAAATAAATCTGGGCAAGTCGAGAAACCCCTGGGAATTTTTTGAGGGTAGTCTGTCCCAGATATGTTGGACCTCATCCCCCACCACCTGGCTGTCTCATTGCAGACAACAAGAGAGATGGCAGATGGCAAGAGAGAATTTTTGTTCTTAACTTTTAATTTTGAATTATATTCTACTCGATGTTAAATTCTATTCTGTTAGAAAAAAAAAAANAAAATTTTTAAAATATATCAATTGTAAAGAGTGGTATGTTTGTGATAAAAGTAAGAAAATACAGAACTATTATAGGTGCAAAATATTGCAATTAAAAAAAAATCCTTACTAAATACTTAGGAGTGAATGAATCAACCATTTGGAAAAGCATATCTTGGTAACTTATTTAACCAATTGGTTAAGCATTTTAGAGTTTCTGGACATCATTGAGAAGTTTACATTCACACAATGATTCTACATAATAAGACCTGCAAAAATATCATATGGATAGTTTATGAGTCACCAATAAACCAATGAACCATTTTATAAGTTAATCGAAAACACCTCAAGTACATAACTACAGTATAACTTCAAGCAATATTTTCCAGATGGCCAAATAGCTAAGAGAGAAAAGACAGCAGCTTGTCACTCTGAGGTCCAAAATTTGAGGCTGGTCCAGCTCAGAAATTTCACAGTTAAATCAATCTCAATGTATTATGTTCCATTTCTCACCACCCAGCTGTTTCATCTTGGGTCTGGCAAAACTCATGATAGGCAGAGAGAAATATAAATGTTTAATTTTAACCTATCCCATGTTTAAATTTTTCTCTGTTGCATGTTGCACCATCTTGAATTTTTGTTGATGTTACGCCTAACAATAATTACACATTATGAAAAAAAAAATCATGGCTAGTGTATCGTTCGTCTGAAATTATTTTTTTAAATAAATGTATATTTGCTTACTGGAGAATAAATTCAATAAAAATAAAAACCATTCAAGTATCCAGCATAATTCTTTAATAACAAAAATGTTTTCAAACGCATTAAGCATTCATCATCAGTTATTTCTCTAATTCGAAATGGGAAATTCGAAAAATTACTTAAACGAATTTCAAATAAAAGGTTATGTAAAAAATTAAAAGGTAACATGTTATAAACAAAAGTGATACATACAAATTTCTGTATGTTTAATAAATAATAATAAATAAATAAAATAAAATATCTATCAAGGATCATCCTAAGCTTGATTAAGCCTTTTATATAGAACTAGCAGACCCCGCCACACGTTGTTGTGGCTCAAAATGTATCTATTATAAATGTATAGCACTTCCCCCATGGGGGAAATTTTTCGAAAAATCCCTTTTTAGTGTATATTCTGTTGATGTACCCTATTAAAACGCAATCAAAAACGCAAAAAACCGCATTTAAAATAGTATAAATAGAAGCAGAGTTCTTTACGGTAAGCCTTAATCCTGTCCATCTCCCCCCAGTGGGGGGAATTTCGACATGTATATTATATAAAAACACATGCGTATTCGAATGCAGCGTTGTGTCAAATTTCAAAGGAATCGGTAGGAACAAATGAATATTACAGTTTTATTTATATAGATAAATAGAAGATGATCTGCTTTAGTTCATTTTCACAGAAAAGCAAACTTAGGGCGTCGTACTCGTAGCGCCATCTGTTGGACATAAGAGCCTTAACCTAGATTATATCTTTTAATTTATATGAATGTTTAATGGAATAATATACAGCCTATGTCCACCCTGAAGTTCCATTCTAAATATTGGCAAAAGAATTTTTGAAATCGAATGAGTAGTTTTGGAGGTTACCTGCTACATCCAAACTTACTTACAAACATTACCTCTTTATAATATTAGTATAGACTATGCCAATTCGTCACAAAAAGATTTCCAAGCGGATGAAAGCCCGTCGGCATCCCTATAGTTAATACACTGCGTGCTCTTCTGTGCCCTGTGGATTTCTAACTTTTTGAGATATTTTACCACGTGTCTAGATCTGGTAGCTTTTATGATAGAGGCCTGGTCCCAGAAGACAGTAATGCCTTGTTGTTTAGCATAAATGGCAAGGACTGTACTGTCAACCGTTTTGTTCACTGAAAGCTTAAGCCTGGACTCCACGTTACCTGAAAACAGAAACTTAGAAACAGAACTGAAACATATAGCGTTTTCGTTTCAGTTATGTTTTTGTTTTAACTTGACTCTACTAGAAAAGCGCCATCTGTTGATCAGTTCTGTAATTGTCATAGAGACAAACATGGACGACGCTACGGATTTTGCCACGCTTTCTCTGCATTTATTAACAATGAAATTGTTAATTAACATTAGAATTAATTTGAATTATTTACATTTTTTTGTCGTACAGACATGTGTATTTTCTAACGTCTTCGATGAAGAATTCCAAATTTATTTGTTTCCTCATCGTTTTCGCTAAACTTTCCGCCATTACGACAATCAAACAACGCGTGACTACGCGTCACATATCCTTGCGTTTTTATTGGGTGCGGTACAACAGAAGCGCGGGACGAAAACGGAAAAGTTAAATAATTTTTAAATCCGCTTTCGGTCTTGTTTCTGTCCAACAGAACGTTCCAAAACCGGAAGTTTCGTCAGTTTGGCTTTCAGTTTTACGATTACGTCGCGGATTCCGGTAATGTGGAGTCCAGGCTTTATGCTCATTGATTCTTTTCTTCAAATTCCTCAATGTTGCGCCTATATACACTAAGTTAGAGTTGAATCTATGGTCTCTTAGCAGTATTGAGTATATTCCTGTTAAGGAGTTACATTCATAATCTCCCTTGTCATTCCTTAATATCCTGTATATAGTGGGATTATGTCGATAAACTATTTGTAAGTTCTTATTTTTGGAAACCCTCTTGACAATCGGTTTAAGAAAGGGTATATAATTGAGAACCACTTTTTCTTTTTGGTGGTTTTGCTTTTGCCTATTTCTAATATTATGATCTTTCTTAATGAGAGCCTCTATTCTTTTTCTCCCATAGCCATGCTGTATGGCAGTTCTTCTTATATATTGTAATTCCTTAACAGTATCACAAACGTTTGTGCAATGAGTGTGCTCTTCTTATCCACGATCGAAATACTGCCATTTTAATATGCTCCGGATCCACTAAATTCTTAGGGATAATGATGGGGATAGATGTCGGTTTATGATAAATATTGGTTCTGATTTCCCCTTTTACGCATGTTATAGTCAGATCTACTACTACTACCTTGTTGCTCCAATTCCAAGGTTAAACCATATGGGTTACTGTTTATCAGATCCATAAAACGCTTGATGTTGCGATTATCCTTCCACAAGATAAAGACATCATCAACATATCTCGCATATATCAATATATCTTGTTGTAAGGAAGGGAGGATACTGTTTTCTAGATTACGGAGTACCAACTCACAGAGGACCGACGACATGGAGCTACCCATCAGTACTCCCCGCCCCTGTAGAAAAGTTTTATTTTCGAATTCAAAGAAAGATGTATGGCAAATCAAGTCCGCTAATTCTAAATTCTAAAATTTTTTATGTTATTAAAGAATTATGCTGGATACTTGAATGGTTTTTATTTTTATTATGTTTTTATTTCGCACAAACAAAATAGTTATATTAATAAATATAAATATAAAAAAATTATATTTTGGAAGTTAATTTTAATATAAAAATTATAATGACTAACAACATCTAATTTAAAAAAATGTTCCAATGCTGAAACGATATATCTTGGGTTCACTGGTCAACCCAAGATATGTCAGGAACAACACAGGACAAGTTAATACATTTCCCAGGGACACTAAGTGTACCTTTTCTTTGTGCTTATCATGAGTTCAGCCATTTATTTCTATTAAAAAGCAACAATCCACACACAAAATACATTTGAACTTTCAATTTAATGAATAATAAAAATTAATACTATAAATATAAATACATTCAATCAACATAAATAATTCAATAAATCAAATAACTATTGCCAGATTATGTCTGAGCTAAAACATTCCAGAAAATGCATTTGGAGAAAATCTTCCAAAAGCATTTTCTGTTTCATGGACTAGCATAATGTTTCATGAAATAGAACATGCTTATAAATCCACAATCAAGTGAATTCCTAAATTCTAAATATGTTAATGAAATATATATAGTTGGTAGACTTAAAAAAATAGTTTTAATTGTTACAGAATTTGAAAAGAAACTTTGAATAAAGAATTCATTAAAAAAAAAGTGTTTTTCAAATATATATAATGTATATATTTTAATTCAATATGATCATTTACTTATTTAGGTATGTATAAATAATCATCAAACAAGACTAGAATAACCTAATTGCAAAAGTGCAAAACAATCTAAATTAATAAGAAAAATAAGTACTAACCATTTACGAGCAACATCAAAAAGAACTTCAGGATAAACGCCACCACCTTTGGCTGCAGATTCTACTGCTAAACATGCTCTTTCTAGCATTTCACTACTTTGTTCTTTACACTGAATAAGTGCTCGTTGAATTTCATTAGGGTTTAGTGCATGAGCATGTGGTAGACAAGAAAGAGCTAGTTCTGCTGCAGCTCGTACCATAGCAGGATCTCTACCTCTTGATGCACGATCTGCTAATGATGCTACTTCCGGAGGAGTAAGATGCCCTTCCCAAGTCTCTATTAAAAAGTTAATGGCAGAATTTCCGATTTCCATGGCTTGTCCTATGCGTAAGAAATTATACTTTATTAACAACAGATCTTTGTTTAATATTACATAAATTTGTAAACCAAAACTTAGAAAATCATACTAGTATACAAATTGATTTGAAATACAGTGGCTACAAACAATTATGCAATTCTTATCTTTATATCATTGTTATGAAAAACAACAAGAGTAAAATATTTATTTAAGGCCAAACAATCTGCAAATTATTGGGCTATTTTTATGCTATGTTAATAATTAGATACCAATTAATTTGACTAAAGGTACATGGATATACCACCATCTTGTATTAATTTTAATAATTGTAATAAATTAATTTTTAGTTTAGAAATTTCTGGAAGAACAGAATTGGCATGAAACAGGACTCAAACCCACAACTTTTGCTTACTGTGCAGTTAAGTTATTGTTTACGCTATCTGGACCTCTGTCTGATCTTTGATTTCAGAACTATTAATTTACATATGACGTAGCCTGATAATTCAGCAGATCATTTATTTGGCTTTAATCAATTAAATTGGGTTTGAGTTGATGTTATATATTTATTTATTTTCACAAATATTCTTATAAATTACTTAATTTCATCAATGAGAGATTGATAACAAATTGATGAGAGAACTAAATATCAGATTAAAATTAACAAACATACTGCACAATTTTAAAGAAAGACAGACAATAAAAAAATTATTCCTAGTTATTTGATAAAACAAAAACATAACTATAAAAATGGACTTCTAAGTGCTCTCTGAGCATAAAAAGATTTATTTACTTTATTACTAATCATCATACAGTGAAAATCTGTAATATCATTGATATAAAAATTAATTAAAAAAAATAATAATAATAATAAAACAGAATAAGAGCAAGTAATAATTGTATTTTTTGATTGTTGTAGGTGTAATCATATTTCATATCTATACTATTATAAAGAGGTAAAGTTTGTAAGTTTGGATGTAGGAGGTAATCTCTGAAACTACAGGTATACCTCGCCTTACGTCGGTAATTGGTTCCAGGAAAGCGACGTAAGTCGAATTTACTTGTCTCTGAATCTACTCGTCACTAGGCTAAACCATAAATTACCATTCCCGGTTCTGTATTTTATTTATTAATGCATTTTTAATAATATATGGTTAATAAGGATCTATTTTAAGCTTACAAACAAATAAATTTTAGTTTTTAATATAGTACAGAAAAAAGTAATCTAAATTTACGAAT